GGGTTTCTACAGTAATTCATCACAAACAGGAGAATACCAATGCTTGCATAAGCGGGAAGGACCCGAAAGCAGATTTTGTGCTTTAAATGCAGTCAACATTCATCGAGATGCAAGTCATCACCTTATGTTTCATAACTTTTGTGAAAAAAAATCCAGAAAATGTGATAACAAAATCTCCAGATTTTGAAACAATATTACTTTAAGTATCCACATCAAGTGCCTGAAGAGACAGAGATTTCAGGCAAGCCACTGCATATCCATCTTATCCTAAGAGATGCCTGACATTAAAAAGTCAATTACTAAAACTTCATGCCAAGCACCTGTGAAATGAGTGAAGAGAGCATCTGCTTTCCAGATTCCCCATTCAGTTTATATGCCAGTTAAACTGATCACTGCTGACACAGAGGGTAATAACTCTTGACATTTCAACAAGTCAAGTGAAGCACAAAGTCCAAGTTTCCAAGAGAATAATTAAAATAATAGGATTACATATAATTCTGAAAGCAGACAAAAGCATTGAGAAAAACTGACTCCCCCAGTACTTATTTCCTCTCTCTGCAGTCTAACGGTGGAGACTAAGATAAAAGCAGTATCACTGAAGAAAAATGGTGTGTTCTACTTCTCTCTAATCAAAGATTTAATATTGTTACTATTATAAACAAATCACAGAATATTACTGGAGAACAAAATTCAGCAACCTAATATTCTGTCTACTTTGAAGTCCTTTCACACTCTTTGAAGAGATGTGTAGGCACTAAATACACATTGGCTCTAAAATGCAGAAGCCATATGAAACACAGAAAATAGCACAGTGGCAGCTAATTCACCCACAAACTGACTTACTAGTCCTTAAGTGCCATAGATTCCTATTAAAAATGAATAGGCTTGGTTTTAAATTAGAGTCACAAAGAGTGAAAGCTACCTTGCGTGTTTTTCTTTCCAAATCAAATATTTAACAGAGGAAAACCACAGGTGTCACTGACAAGGAAATATTAGTTGTGGCTTAGAACCACATACATGGATTGAAAAGATGCAGGACCTGTCCTGCCACATGACCTCATAAGTACATAACTCAACTGATCACTGTAGTCACACAGGAATTAGAAATCTGCCATTTGTTTCCAATAAACAGATTTTAACATTCTTTAAGAAACAAAAGTGGCCATCCATCTCCCTAGTACATTCAGTGCTTGGCATTAATAAAGCATACAATCTTTTAATCTCAGTAGGCTCAGCACTATAGCGACGGTCAGATAAATGAGTAGGTAGCAAGAACAGAGGAACTGATGGCAGAACCTGAGTGGGGGAGGAAATAAAGGAGCCCAGAAGAAGTGCCCGCTCAGCACAGGGAGAGTAAGCCTAAGATCCAAACACAAGAGCAGCCTTCTGGATTGTCATTTTTGCAACACGATACAGAGGAGAAAGGCGCTACCTAGTGTTAAATAGTTGATTACAGACAAGAGCCTGGCGAGCAAATAAACAGAATGCAGTGGAAAATCTTTCTTAAGTCCTCCATCATAGCTGCCGAAAAGAGATCTACCTGATGTCACATTATCAGTGAGCATTAGCTTATGTTGTTAATTCAGTTTACTCAGTGAAAGCTCATCCAATTCAATAGGTTTGGGCTTCTTGTGCCTAAATTAGTCTTGAATTCTTTTCCCAGTTACTAGGCATAACATTCTGAAAAATATTTATTTTATACAACTAAAAGTAGATCTGATCAAAACTGGGAGAGCCTGGATCAAACAGAAAAGGTGAAATGAATTTGAAAGTTAACTGGAAAACAAAATCAAACAAATCCTTCTAAGTGAAAACTTCAGATAACTGTGTAATTATATGCAACTATTAAGTGTACTACAATTTAAGAGTTACATGCATTTAACAAAATACCTTGAAGGAACACGAAGCAAGGAAGTGAACTGCAAGGCAATGCTCATTCTTCCTGCAGAGGACATGCAGTAGCTACCAAGCTGTCTTGTTCTAGCCTGGGCAATTTGTTCAAAATTAGTGCAAGAGCTTATTTGAAAGCCTATTTGAAAACATCCTGTGTGGGAGTGATAATATGCATCTGAAGGACATCTGCTGCCCTTTATATCACGTAAATAACTTGCAAGATTTCTATCCTGTAAACTGGAAAATCTCACCTTCCAGACTCTGCAGATTCTCATACACCATCACTCTAAACAAGAATCTCATTAACTGCTGCCCCTGCCCAGTTCAAGACTGAATCTTTAAGCTGGAATGAGCACTGTCCTAGGAGAGTACATTAAGTTTGTCGTCAGGTACCACTCAAGTCACAATTAATTTCTGCTGTCTGATTTATCTGCTTGGACAGTAAGCATAACATATAATGCAAATCACGCATCACATGACAATGCAGTGTCAATACAGCCACAGTGTCACATTCCTGTTAAAGTAAGAACAAATTCTGACAGCACTAAGCTCTCTCCCATCACTTAACTATTTCATTTTCACACCCTACAGTATGACTGCTTTTGAGAAATCCTTATTTATTTTAAGCATGTGCCTTATGATGCTGAATCACACTGAGAAAACACCTATATATAATAAAGGAAATCACGCCTGCTCACTTCAGACTGCTGAATGTCATCCAAGTTAGGTGTCTAAACCTGAAGCTATTTATGTCTCCAGTTCTGAGATCACTTCATCAGGAAACAAAGAACAGTTGAGATACAGTTTCATATGGATAAAATTTTTCAGGTACATGAAATTGTCTCAAATCTGAATTAAGACAGACATGATCCTTAAAGCTAGTAGTGGCTAAGCATTAAATAATTTGCACTGAAATGAACTAATAAAACAGATGTTTCTTGACAAATACACGAACATAACTGTTTTCTGACCCTCCTAGGGTCTACAATACAGATAAGATCATCCCCTATGTCCTCCTGTATGCCCTAACTTACGAGGCAGAAACAACTTAAGATTTATTCCTCTCTTCTGTGCATGGTGAATTTTAATCAAGGAACAGTTTTAATGTCTTATTTCCTCAAAGAATCATTTGTAAAGTTGATAATGCTTTAATAATAGAAGGCCATGCTTTTTTTCCCCCCCACTTGTCCACACAGAAAACAAGAGGCCTTGCTTCCACCTGAGGATATTAGTTTTTCCTAAGCTAGAATAACTAGAAAATTACCACCCTGAAAGAAATAATTCTGTTAGAATGAAATAAAAGGCTTCTGATAATAAACATTACTCTTGCAGTTAACGGATATAACTGATGTAAGAACACATGCACGCACACACACTTTAAAAGCCATTCATAACCATCATTATCCCATATTCCAGAGAAGCCAAATGCATAATTAGTGGTTATCTCTCAGTGAGTCATATTTGTTAAAGTAGCCTTTAACTTACAATCAACTCCAGACAGAAAGGTGGACAAAGTTATCTGAAGCAACTCAGGAGGTTAAAAAAACAAACAATTTAGGTAATGCACGAACTTAATGCTACCTTCCCCTGACTGACCACCAAATCAAAATGCTGCAACAGCTACGATTGCTTAGAATTCCTTGAAATATTAATCCATGTGCCAGCTGCTGCCAATCCAAAGTGCCCTTTTAAGCTATGTGGAAAAGAAGCCATCTAAATAAACACATAACTGATATTACAAATAAAAAAAAGCTAAGAGAAAGCTATTTGAAGTTTAAAATAAAGTTTCTATGACCAAACACCATGCATTTTGATATCAGCTCACCAAAGTTTAAGTTGACATTTGTTTCTGTGTTTTTTATTGTTGTTTTGTTTGGCTTTTTTACTAAAAATCAAGTCTGTCACTAACTTGATTTTCAAAGACTCATCAGGGAAAAAAAATGTTCATGAGTATAAAAACTAGAATTCATGCTATTCAGTTATTTTCCACAAATTACACTAAAAACATGCAGAAATATAACAAACACTTAGAGGGCAAAAACACAATCAACACAACACTTTTCAGCGATTTGTTTATTTTTTGGTTTACAAACAAAGGCACCCAATATTTCTGTTTGTCTTATAAAAGCTCACAGATTTAGCATTTGTTTCTGAACATCTGTTCCTACAGCAGAAAAACATTACAGGAAAATACAATTTTTCCTGGTCCCAAATTTTAATACCTGTAACTGTTAAGTGATCATGTTGTTTCAATTGCTCTTCTTACTTAACCAATTGGAATACCTCCTGTCATTTGCTATTCAGTACAGCGAATCCAGCTTCCTGTATCAAAACAAAGTTCCAGTCTATTTCTGACCAACATTTATTACGTGCAAACATTGAAGAACTGCAATAGAACAGGGTCCTGATATGGAAAGAAAACAGTACGTTCAACTAGAATTTCACAGACTGACCACAGGAAGCAACATAAGTAACGTAATAAATGTGACACCAGATCTATCATCAATTAAATAGGATGACTGATGAGTTTAAGATACCAATAGTCAACAGATAGCCATGGACTCCAAAGAGAAAAAAATCTGAGTTTCTAAACTGTTAAATGCTTAAAGAGTAGAGGTGAAGTGTCCTTTCCTCCAGTTATATATTCAAAAGAGTAGATTCCTAAGCAGCTATGAACCAGAAATAATCAATTCATTGGCTTCATAGTTTGCACTATTAAGAGATCAATGTTAAAAGTATCGCATGTAGTAATGACTATGAAAAACAAATTTTTTAATTGAGTTGTTGCACAGAAATTATTTTTGGACAATGATGTACTTGTCTTTTTTGCAAACTTCAGTCAAATGCCAACATGAGATGAGGACATCATTGGATTGTAGGCACCTCTGAAAAAGTCTACAGTGCAGGAACGCTTAAGCATACTTTCAGGTCTAGTAAGGTACTTGGAGAGGTAACTAAAAATGTAATACACCTAATGCATTTGTTAAAGTGTAACATCCTCAGTCATAGAAGCCATAATTTATTTTCAGCCACAGCCAGAGGTCTCTCACACAAGGTGTGGTCCTAGACCATTTAGGCTTTTCATCACAAGCTGTGTGTGTGTGTGTGTGTGTGTGTACACATACACGGATCATTTTAAAAAGGAATTACAGCTTAACTACTTACTACAGAATACTTAGCTTCAACAAGGAAGCCATTGTCTTTTCAAAATGAGATATACACCTGCATGAAAGGTGTTCTCCTTAAAGTAAGGAGTTTCCACAAGAATAGCAAAATAAGTTCTTTACATACTTAATTCAAATAGGACAACTACCAAGGGCAAGTATAATTTAGCTCTTGTGTAATTAAGTCATTATTTGTTTTTTCAAGCAGATTCAAGAACATATTAACATACAGTATAAACTGATTTTAATGAAAAACACTGGGCAAGGGTGCTGGTCAGTGCATCAATAAGAGGAAAATGACTGTTCTTAAGTAGAGTTCTATGTAACAAAAATTTCAAGGGACCTTTACTTATTGCCTTAAACAGGAATTCAGTCTTTTCTTACAACTTGCTATTTTGATGAGTTTTACCTACCAGAATGAATTAAATGCAGCAAAACACTTCATGTTTAAACCTAATAATTTAAACTAAATCATAGAAGAACTGTTAAGATATTTCCATTCTGAAGCACGATGCTTCTTGTTCTGCTTGCCCAGCAAAACAAAGGTTTTATTGGGGCAAAAATGAGAAAGAGTGCTTAGGCAATGGTGTTATGCATGCATGGAGTTTTTCATCGCTTAATTTCAAGAATTATTCATTCATGAAGTACTCACTAACACCATGCAGAAATTTACGAACAGGTATATCTCAACAAAACCCTACAGTTTGTCCAACTACAGTTACCAGTACTATGAATAACTATCAAGCATAATAAACTCCTTTCAAATACATTTACGTTTTGGAGTCAGAACTGTAACAATCAAGTGCTGGCTCTGTGTTACCAACAAAAAAAAAAAAAAAGGATGGTGAATGATCACTTTTTCCCCCTCAGGGTTATATTCCTTTTATCTATTCAATGATAGGATCAATTCTGCTTTCAGAAAAGCAAATTGGTCATGCTGACATAAACTCAAGTAGGATGGGGTCAATTTTGAGCATGAAACTGAATCACACCTAAAACCAGATCACACAAAAGGCCTTTCTGTAACAAAGGGAGGGGACTTTCTCGTAAAGACAAGTAGTCATCATTACAATCTTACTTTGAGAAGACAAGAAGTGGCAAAAATAGTTTTTCCAGGAGATCCACCAGCATTTATGCACTGCGGCAACTGTAAAACCCTTTGCAATTTAGCAGGATTTCAAATAAATAGGTCTACAGTAACTAGCAAATCTTGTATCAATATTCACCTTTCTCAATGTGGAATAAAAATAAAATTATGTTAAGGCAGATTTCAATCAAAAATGTCCCGAACTGCACAGTTACGTTGGTCAGTGGTCTAAAATGTTCTGCTCAGGTTAAAAAGTTAGATACTTGCCTAAAGTCAATTCAGCCTGGCACTTGAACATTTTATTTTCTGTTTTCAGGAAGATATATAACTAACTTTACATACACCATACTATGTATTTTGCACTCCAATTTAAAATAATGTTTTTACAAAATGTGAGATGATTACATGTAACAGACTTTGTGTAGTTAGACTGCTGCTCTATGCATAGATGCCCTAATGCTAAATTCTTGTTCTTCAGTATCTCATAGTACTGGAGGCTCTGAAGTAGGAGAGGAACTTGTAGCACAGACTAACCACAAAGTACCAGATATTTCTTGCCATTTGTGATCTTGCAATAAAGATGCGCCAAATCAGGATCACCAGAATTGTATTGAATCCATAGCGTATATTCCTTAACCTAAGAAGGAAAAAAAAAAAGAAAATGTAAAAGCCAAGATAGAGCGGCCTACAGGGGAAAAAAAAAAAAAAACATTTATCTACTCATCTCAAGACACACTATTCCAGTCATATTAAGTTAGTGTCTGAAGCTAGTAAGTTAAGGACTAAGCAGACTTTTTCACAGTTTACTGTTCAAAGAGAAACACATGAAAATTAAAAGGTCAGTCCTGTAGTTAAATAAATATACATCTGCTTCATAGTTGATGAATAAAACCTCCTAGTGTCAAGGTCACACATACTAACTTACACAAAAGTGGTTGCCATAAATTCAAAACCAGTCTATTTAACACTATCATCTTCACTCCTCCGTGTATTTAAAACTGAGCAAGCAGAGACATGAGAAAATTTCTCATGAAATACAGTCCATGATGTCCACTGCAATGTTAGACTTCTTCTCAGGTAAGGATATTTAAAAATTAGGGAAACATAATATTTAGGGCATATTGCGTATTTAGGGCAATTGGGAATTTTTGCTATTGTCTCGTGTAAATATAGAAGCTCCATAATAAACCAGAATTTGCACAAATTGCTTAGAAAAAGGAGAGACCTCTTTGATTCAGCAGACCATGCCAATTTGTATTTTTAAGGCAACCCTACGAAAATACTCACTTACATAGCTGTACAGGCATACTAGATCTTATGCCCAGGCCTTACTCTACATAGCTTAATTATGCAAATATAGTCTGCTTCCATATTACACAAATTAAAAAAAGACCACTTCTATATTTAAGGAAGTATTCTGCTCAGTTTCCTAGAGAAGCCAGTTTCCTTAGGTTGCTGTATCTTGTCAGTATTGAAAATAGTCTTCTCAACTTCAGATTAGCTAGAGTTTAGTGCTAAATGGTAACAAAAGAGACAAATACAATACCTTGGACTAAAGATATGCTGGAGTCTAACCCTCATGCAACATAATCCTTCTCTAAACAGAATTGAGATGATCAGATGGCATTCCAAGACTATTTTCTCATGTTTTGGTATAAGCCTTTGTACAAAGAATAACTCCAGCACATTTCTGAATGGCATTTAAATCCAAAATTCCCATAAGCTGCCTACAAATGTGACATTTACACTTACAACATACCTGAACTAAAGTGACTATTTATCAAAACCAGATTAGCACATTGCTATGCCACATATGGCCTTTACAGCCATCTCTTAGGATAACGCAGGCAAGTTTGGCCAAAATTCTCAACACTGAAATCATTCATGTCAATTTCTTCAGAAGATCATCTAGAAGAAAAAAGTCTGTCTATGCCAATAAAGATCTGAACAGTAACAATGCACTCTAAGTGGAGGAGTTAACACACAGATAAGAGGCAAAGAGAAGCCATCTTGAAGGAACACCGAAGTTTCCTGCCCTGGAGTGGGGTCCATACATGCCTTTGTCTGCTTCCAGAGAACACGCTTCTAAAGTAAACCACGACTGTTGTATTAAACCTCTGTGATTGCACAAGCCATTCTGATCTTGTTTAACTGTCTACTTTTTTTTAGGCCTTCCAAAATGGACCCTTATTAAAAATCAGAGGTATAGATTGCACGGTATATACTAGCAATTGGAACTACAGCCATGATCCCAGACATACTGAAATTACTAGTAGTGAGAATAATACAAGACCAACAAAAGAAGGAAGAAAACTATAGACTGCTTCAGACAATTAAACTAGGACAGAACTAACCCGGCAGACCTATACAGAAGCTGTAACAGCTAAGTCACGAAACTGAAAAGCAAAACTTGACGTGGACAGGAGAAACGCAGGAAAACAGAATAAAACCATAAAAATGAATACATACTTATTTAAATGTTTCCTAGCAGCAGGGAGGCCAGACATTTCTTCATTCAACACGTATTTCTTTGTTCCCATGCAGTAGTTTTCCATGTATTCTGCCCAATGTAGTTGTCGAACATCAAAATTAAAAGTCTGCATAAAACAAAAGCTTTCACTGTTAATTACCTTAAAAAAAAAAAAAAAAAAAAAACACCAATGCATTTTTGATAAAAATTTAAAGAAAAAGATGATCAGAGAGCTGGAGCACTACCCCTTTGAAGACAGGCTGAGGGAGCTGACCCAGACAAAAGCAGGACAAGGGGAAATGGTTTTAATTTAAGGGAGGGGAGATTTAGGTTGGGTATCAGGGGGAAGTTCTTTTCTATGAGAGTGGTGAGGTGCTGGAACAGGCTGCCCAGAGAGGCAGGGGATGCTGTGTCTCTGGAGGCATTCAAGGCCCTATGCAGCCTGGTCTAGTGATAAATGTGGAGGTTGGAGGCTCTGCATGCGGCAGGGCAGTTGGAACTTGATGATCCTTGAGATCCCTTCCAACCCAAGCCATTCTATGATTCTATGATCAGTTGACTTCCTTGCAAATAAATTCAAATTTTCTTCTCCTTAACTGTAAGAATGATACAGAGTTAGATCCTGTTTGCAACTCAACTACCAGCTTCCCATACAATCTCTTGAACTTCAATCACATCATGTCTTTTCCTCATCAGTAATGTTCTTCCCTCAGTTTCAAAGTGCACTGCTATTCCATCTGTCCATGCAGAATCCCACTCTGTAACTATTTTCTATTAGATGTTTCTTTTTCAGCCAGGAAATAATTCGTATATGCTGCAGAATAAGAACACTGTTTCATGTCTGTTCACTGATAAATGCAGTTTTTAACCATTCTTGAAGTTGTACAGCTATGTTTTACAAACAACCACATGAACATTTACAGAAGTTATCGTGGAACATTCACAACTCAAGTTTCTCAATGGTATCTATGTCATCTCAAAAGATTCCACAATAGCCAGGTAATTTCTAATAAAGACAATAAGCTCACAGATTCTGAACCAAAATACTCAAAACAGTGCTCCATAAGAAGCTGCCTAGTAGGCCTGTCTTGTGAAATTGTGAACTAACGTGACTGCTTGCTTATAGCTCCTGAAAGTTCTACTACCTTCCCTGACAAATCCCTTCCAGTTCATAAGCTCATGCTATAGGCACTCACTGTAATGAATTTCTTTAATGTAGTGAAAGATCAGAAAGAGTTCAAGCAGTGAGAAGAGCTGAGAAATCTAATGCTAACTACTGTCAATACTGTATTGACTATGGTTTGAAAAATGTGACACGCGGCAAAATTACACCAAACAGGCCAAGTCAGAAATCAACTACAGCTTATGCTATAAAAGCATAGTTAGAGACCCAGTGGAACTATGTACGCACTGTTATTAAGCATAAAAACTCCATCTTAACATAACTAACTTTCAAAATCCAGAAGGGCAGAAGGGCTCGACTGCAAGAACAGTAAGACAGCTCTTATGAGAAATTTCATTCACACTTACTCAGACCCTCTGCTCAACAACAGTTTTTCCTTCTTCCTTAACCACCTTCTCTGTATCCCTTCTGCTGGTACATCTACCCCTCTGCATGGAGCAATTTCAGTCAGACAGCAAATGAAAGGATTTAAATATGCAGCTGTCTTGCTGAGGTATGAAAGATGTACGCAGTTGTTACTGGTTTGAAAACCACAAAACAAAGAAGTCCAACAAAACCTACTCCTATTCCTCAGAAGAGACAGTGCTAATAAAACAAAGCCTGGTTTTATTCATGGTGTATTCAAGCCTAACAGCTCAGTCACTTGGTTGATACAGAGAGCAAGACCTGATTACAAGACCAAGTCACCCTAAAAGTCTTTTCTATCATGTCTTCTGCCACAGGTCCTGCCCTTTGTAATCTCTCATGACATCGCTGATTCAGCTTAGAAGAGATAAACATACAGACAACCTAATACATCCAAAAAGACGTGGCAGGAATCTCCAGAATCAATTCAGCACCATGCTCTGTTCTGCATTACAGTAAGAGGTATTTCCAATTTAGTTTATCTTAAACCAGTACATTTGCGTTTCAGTTTCCCCATTCACATCACACAGCTACTTGCCTTTCTGTCTTCAGGGCTTAGTTGATTCATCAGCATAGTCATATTTTCAGTATTCCAGATCCAAGAATTGCTTGTAAAGTATTCTAAGAATACCATTGCCTTATGCAGACGTGTTATTGTTTTCATCATCCTACAGTCCAAGGAATGGAATGCACAGGTTACAGCAATAAACATGAGTTCAAACAAGAAAAACAAACCAGAAGATAGTAAGTTTCATTACTCTCTAACTTCGTTCCCCTACATTAAAGTATTATTATATTGAAGTATCTAAAAAAAACCCCATAACATAACATTTAGTGCTTTTCAATTCAGCATAAATTAACAATTAACTTGATCAAAGTATTTAAAACCAAGTTGCACAGTGCAGAGCACGTTTCATGTAACAAGGGAGAAAGCTTCCCTAGTCCTCTGGCACACTATGCAAGTCTTTAAACCAGTTTTGTTATTATCAATAACAAAATACAAGATCAATGATTAGAATAAACAGAAATTCAGCTTTTCCCCTTAACCCCTACAGCTTCCACAGCAAAGGGACAGACCACAGCAGATCCTGCTACTTAGGCGATCAGTTCCAGGTTACTTCAAAATATGCAGAAATACCTTCCATTATGCTTCATTATGCAGACTGCAATTCTGCAAGAATATAACTCACAGTACAGAGAAACGATGCTATAAGAATCAATTTGGGCAAGTTTCCCTTTAATCAGAGTATATGAAGTAAACCCAAAAAGTGAGCTATTTAGTCTCATGTGAAAGAATTTTCCTGCTGTAAATGCAGGAATTTTGCAAGCGTTACAGTGCTAGAGATGGTCACTTAATTTTAGTATGTAGTTAGTACTCACATATCCAAATGCTACTACATTTTTGCTTCGGGGACTTGAGGTATTTCCATTTGACAGAACTGCTTCCTTATAGCAGGACACACTGTTCATTTTAAGCAGATATAAAAGTGGTGTGTGGAAAAAGCTAAGAAAGCAGAACAACCCAGCAATAACAGGAAATGGCTTTCTGAAGCTAAGCTTTGTTCAAAAGAATTCACAGCAGCAATAAGTCACCTCTTCTCTGAAAGTCGCCTAAGTGCATTCATACTTCTAGGACAGATACAGCATATTCTCAGAAAGTCACCTGACCAACATATTTTGCATTGCACGACTAACATTAAAAGCCAGTATCTCATTTCTAAGTGAATATTAATACTGCCTCTTTTTTGATTTTAATGGACTAATAAAAATGATAGAGATGACTGAAAACACAGAGCATATCTGATGTACAAAAAGTACAAACACTTCCCCAATATAATTTGTGTTCCTGCAAAATGCTAAATAGTGTAACTGAAAATTTGAGCAGATAAATGTAAATTTGAAGTTTGGCACAGGCCAAACATTGTTTTTATCTCTTTCTCTAAGACACAGAATGCTATTCTATCTGCTTATGTGTATGTTATAATGCATAGCGAAGCTAATTAAATAAAAATACATACAGCTTAGGTAGCCAACGAAGATTCTTTCACTTCATCTGCAGACTTGCACTCTCTCTCTCTCTCTCTCTCTCTCTCTCTCTCTCTCTCACATTGAATTTAGTGACTGACCACAGAATCAGCTGATGATTCATATCATCAGTGGAGACTGTTCCTTTTCTTTGTAGGGTTAGTTTCTTGTTACATCGCCAAAACAAATGTCTCTATGTTCTCTGAATTGCTAGACCTCACAAGAGGGAAGTGGCAGGGGTTTGCAGCTAAGGGATGGCAGAAGACCAACCTCCTCAGCAACAGCTTATTAACTCGCACTAAATCAACAAGAAACTACTTTAAAAAAAAAAAAGAAAAAAAAGGAACCTCTTACATTCAGACATGTCAGTAAAGCAAGTAATTTAGTGGATGCCTGAATAGTTCTAGCAGACTAGGCCTTTTGGTAAAGGTATTTTAAAACTTGAACAGCACCATATTTCTCCTGCAAATAGGAATATACAGATAACTGAAAGAAGAATATGTAAAATACTTAATGGAACTTTCAAAAATACAGTTCATAGGTTGTTCCACAGACAGCAATTAGCTACAGTTCTTTGATATAAAAAATATAACCAGTCAGGGCAGCAAACACTGTATCACATCTTCTTTACAAACTGAAGACAGAAAAACCAGACCTGCCGATAACATGGAACTGAATACTAGGAGCAGTCAGCAAGTCAGTACAGCAACACATAAGGCATTCACTGTACAAGCCAGTTTTGCCTTCAGCCAGTCTCTAATGTCCTTTGAACAAGATACGTACAAAATACAACTGGTTTAGAAATCACATGTTAAGAATTAAAAGATGGAAGCAACACTTACACAAATCAAGCATTTACAATTCTAGGAGGCATGTTTCTACACCAGAAAATAAAAAGTAGCCTGGCTTAAGGCTTCAACTGCATTTTGAACAAGTCTTAAATACATAAATAGTCTTAAATACATAAATAGTCTTAAATACAACCTACTGACTTAAGTCTAAAAAGTTCTGAACTCAGATACAGATTGATCCTTCAATAGATGTACGTGCTGTCAATATTCAAAGCTCAGCACAAGGTATTAGAGATGAAGAAAATTAAGATTTCTCTGAGCTACGCTAAGCAAGCTTCCCCGTTTGTCAAATGAAACAGGTTGTCATTTATCTTTATGTTTTGATGTTTAAGACTAACTGGAATTCTTTCCTAGCAGCTCTCATTCCTGAAAGTGCACAATTTTTCTTCAAAGTCTTCCCAAGAGGCAGTGACTCCGTTGAGGGTGGTTTATGTTAAGCTTAGTAAGCTTTAATTAAAATTCTCTTTACACCTCCCCAAATTCATCAGCTCCCACTTTCTCTTCAGCCATCTAAGTAGCAACAGAAAATGAACTGCTGGAAAAAAAATCCCTCAATTACAGCTTTAATATTGCTGTATTCTTCCAGACTAATTGGAAGGATCTTTGAGTGCCTAGTTTCAAGTGCTTAAATATTTCAAACATACTGAGCTTTTTATGATAAGGTTCTGCTGTGACAAGTGCTATGCAATGTTACAAAATCGGAAGCATCTACTACGCCTTATATTAAAGCTTATTAGACAACAAATAAGCTGTGCTATGCAACTAAGTACACACAGCAAACTACTGACAATGCTATCGAACTTGGACAGTGAAGACTATTACCACCATTTATATAACTACAAAATACTATAACTATACTATACAAATATACAAAATATAACTAAAAAAAGTCTTCAGCCATCTAAAAGATTGACTATGCCTCACTATGCCATTCAATCCTTACTGTAGTTTTAACACTCACAAAATTTAGAAGGAACATTACATACATTTTTTTCTTTATTTTCCTCAACTGTTATTAATACAGAACTGTTAAATAGAAGAAGGTTTAACTGGAAGCAAAAGCAATTTAAAAAATCTCCTCTCTCACTAAAAACTTTAACTGCTTCTACAAGTACTGCATAGAAGATGAATTTCATATCACAAAAAGACTTCAAAAAGTCAAGTCTTCAAAAAAACCTCATAAAACAATCCTTCTGTTTGTTGGTTATTTTTGGAATTTTTAATTATTATTAGCATAATCTGTTAGTTGCAAGTGGTCCTAGGTCTGATCTAGTTCTACCTGCTGTCTCTTATTCAAAAACAGTCAAATATCCTGACAGTATGGCAATAGTGCAGTTCAATCTGTGTTAATTTTGTTATTTAGTTTTTTCTACATCATATGCAATAAACATCTCAGAAGTGTATATAGACAGAGAGAGGGTAGGCTATGCACCATGTGAAGTCAAGCTGGTTATTCAGATTTGCTTGTGCCAATTTTATCACGTTTTTACTATACCAGTCAAATCATTCATGCTAAATCATGGTGGATAAATGCTGCACTTGAGATTAAGCTAGCCCTTCCTCATTCCACATTATAGAAGTATTACTTCTTTAAAAGCAGTATAACAAATTCAACAATCTCCAATTGTGTTTCCAAGGCTTAAGAGGTTTCCTAATGCATGTCACCTGGTAATTAAAATCAGAGGTCAATGAGACAGAATGACCACAGCAGCAGAAGTACACTCCTTTACCAGTGTTCTCTCCAATGTGCCAGTTAAAACAGGTTTCAAAATACTTACAGCCAAGAAATTAGAAACAAAGCTGGACAAGAATAGAGATCTGGTTCCATTTTGTCTGTTATTCAATAACACAAGAGGTCCATTAGGACTTAAAACCGCATGTCTCCTTTGCATTTAAATAAGTTCCCTTACACTGTCCTAAAACAGGCTCTCATTTAAAAAAAAAAGCTTAAAAACAAAAAAAAAAGAAACACTGTATCATTAAACATACATTCCTTTAAATGTACTGGGTGTCAAACTTTACAGCTTTTTCTCCAAGCAATTAAATTAAACATTACAGCCTCTTTTTTTTTTTTTTTTTTTTTTTTTTAATTTAGTTGAACGTTTTTTTTCCCCAACAAATTGGAGATCTTGTGCACAGTAGGAAGCCTGCCCACCTACAATTATACTAAACCAACTGCTAGAACTCACTAATACTTCACAGGCAGGATAAACTTTCCACATCACCAACTACACTAGTACTGATTAAGGTTCTAAAACGTGTGTTTGGTGTCCAAATAAGAGCTCCAGGAGGAACAAAAAACAAGACTCAATATTTCCAACATTACAAATGTAAAAGCGATCTAAACAACGTGTTAATATTTATTGCCTTGGATCTGAGTTACTATCCCACTGATTAAACACTGACAACATTCTAGCAGTATTATTTCCTGCTTGTATGATAGCAGGTTGGCTTTTATAGCAGTTATTTTTAGCAAGTGATGAAATCTTCATATCTTTCGGGGAATCTCTACAAATTACTCAAAAATATTGATATTATTGAAGAATCAAAACATCTGAGAACTCACGCTGAAAGCCTTTGTTTGATCTGTAGAGTTTAAATGACACGGGGAGCTTACCATACAGGCACAGCTTCCCATCACTACTGCTGCTGTATTACACCAGTGAGTAGGCCGGGAACAAAAGAATCCAGATTGGTTTAGAAGTTTTCTCTTACCAACCACTTACATGGCTTCTTTTATTGATCCAATGCCAAACCTGTTATATGATTTTTCCCCTCCTAAGACAGACCTAGACTACAGACAATGAAAGAATACTCACTTGTCTTAATACACTGTCACCATAGTGGAGATTTTAGAGTCTGAAGACGAATACTTTTGAAAACATAATATATACAATGAGTTAAGATCATACGGCTTGGAAAATCTGAAACAAATTGCAGTGATGTCACATATTCCTTCTATGTAATCTAGGTTGGCCTATTTAGCAGGATTACGCTATTTTCACCACTGCAGAAGTTAGCCAGCTAGTAATTACTATAAACTGAATGGAAGGTTGAGATGATACAAAGCATACCAGATCAGTCTGTATCATATACAAGAATAACTTGCAGTTATTAGTGATCTCCCTTCCATTTTCAGTTTATAAAAGCAACAACAATCTTAATGCCAACCACTTTGCAGAGTGGAAATGCAGTCAACGGATTGTTATTGCTCACAGTTAGTAAATCTAGACAGAACCCATGCCACATCCTCTTCACAAGCCTCCACCACCTTGCCAACAAAGACACTTCTAGCCCTGTCCTTCTTACCATGGCTTATGACCTGTCAATTTGAGCAACACATCATACGAAATTGCAGGCAGTATATGGCGAACTGCAGTCCGATACTGATGTAAAAGAGGATTGGAACAAAGAACAATGCTAGGGTGCCTTACTGCACCATCTAATGGATTTGTCTTGTAATTCAAATATAGGTGGTATGCTGTAGGAAAAAATAAGGATCAACATATTTTTAATACTTATCGTTTATGAACGAACATCTGCTGTATTTTATATTCTTTTTACCTTGACTACTCAACCCCCCCAAGCAAAATATTCAACAAAACATCCTCATTTTTTGCTAGAAAGTTTAAAACTCACTTCAAATTCAATGACCTATTCTCAGAGACAAAAGGATAAGAAAAAAGCTGAGTTTTAGTCACAAAGCATTCAGGAGAAGAAAATGAATATACATCATCATACTGCAAGCATAGCTTTGTTTAAAAGTCAGAGGAACAGATAAGACAGAGCTAGTCATCATTACCTTGGACTTCTTCCAGTAATCCTGAGGTAGATATCATACAGGAATGCTGGGGCCTTATGGCTTACAGCAATCCAGTAATGATATAAAAGGTGATTGGAAGTTAGATTTACATTGGGCCGTCTGAAGGCCTGTTCGAGAGGATTCCTCTTGAAAGTAGAAATTACATGGTACTCTGAGAAAGAAAAGTTGCGTAACAGCTTTGATAGTAACCATGTAAAATTCAATGGTTTTCAGAGAATATTACAGTGTACAATACCTACTTTAGTATGCCATTCAAATAACCACCCTAGCTCTTCTACAAATCACAAAAACTAAAACAGTTAAGCTTTTAACTTAAGATACTGTTAAACTGGTTCGTGTTATACCAAGAGGTCTTTTATGCTTTTATCTTCAGTAGTATTTTACTATAGCTTCTCTCTTTCTGTTCCTCTTCCCTACACAATAAGTTGATTTCAAGAATTCAGTTAATAATATAGCACGTAAAGCTATTTAAAAATTCCTCTGTATTTCATAAAGCCTATTCTAGACTTGTATAAAAATACTTTTGAAAACAGACTGAGGATTAGGCAAACATCTCAAGCGCATTTCAAATTACACTTCCTACAAGTTGCCATATTCAATCACTTTTATGAAACGCTGTTAGGACTGGACTTCGAGAAACTGAAATTTGACAACCTGAAAATTCTGTGCATGGTGGACATGCACATCTTTAACAGTTATCCTGAAATTCACTTGGTCTTTGCAATCATCTCCTGCAATTTTACGCTGTTACTTATAGAGTGTAACACTCCAGTAAAATTAGGATATAAATGAAGTCAGCAATTTTCCAAGTTGAGCTGAAGCAATAAGGTTTATAAATATAGATAAATAAAATGGGCAAAAGTAAGTAAAAGCATGAAGAAAGTAGTCAAGAGAAATAATATGGATTTAAGTAATTAAGATACAGAGAAGAAAATAAACTAACCTTAGGAACTCTGTTACTAAAAACTGGAGAGCTAACAAACGTTTAGCAAGGTAAACCTGCTGGCACAGTGTTTATTATAAGAACCACTACAGAGTTCTTGGCACATGGGTTACATTTTAGTCAGAATATCTAAGAGTTGAAAATAGGTGCCCATGCTTTCTTAAAGATGTCTTTTCCCTCTGCATAAGTAGTCTCATGTAACTGTCAGGTAATTAAAACAGCCATTAAAAAAAACCAAAAACCTGAAGCTAGAAACAAGAAGCTTCAAGTGCCAAACTACTATCATACCTCTCAATTATGCAGCTGCACAAAGTACTTCTAATTTTGAACTATTTACCCACGTGTTTACAGTGAGGTTGGCATTAAATCCACAATCACTACTTCTCCTCTCAGCAGTGCTCTTCTTTGTGTACTACCCACACTCCACAGATCAGGCTGCGGCAGCATCAAGCACACATAATAAAAGATATTTAAAAAAAAAAAACATGCAAAATACAGAAGAGAATGAAAAAGCACAATGCGCTGCAAAATTGAGAGGCATGGCTATTATACTAGTTTCAACAACAGAAAGGAAACATGACCTACTGATTTCCCCCCTCCCCTTCCCCAACTTGACCTTATTTTTCTGTTAAAGTTTATAAAAAAAAAACATGGCATACCAACTTCACTCCAGTGGAAAGGGTTGGTGCCACCTGTTGTACAGTTATATACCATGATATTTCTTGGTCTGGAAGAGAAAAAAAAAAAAAAACAACAATAAGTTAAAGAACAAATAAGTTTTTAAAAAGGAAGATGGGAGAGGAGGAAAAAAGCTGCCATAACACCAAAAATCATACCTGAAGTTAACCTAACCAGTAACATAAATTATTTAAAACAAATTGTCAGCCTCATATTAGTTTTTTTGCTTCCTATTAAATTCTTCCAGTATTTAAATCCATCTTTAACTAATGCATATATATATATATATATATATATATATATGCGTGTATACACACACACTGTGTGTGAACAATTTTCTCCACCACAGAAGGCTTTTTCTAATTACTGTAAATTACAATGGTCACAACAAGGCTCAGGAAGAATTACTTAAGTACAGCTTATACAGTAGTATCATAGGTGTTATCTTCCCCTTCACTATGAAGTGCTAATCATCGCTTTAAGTTACACACTGATGGACTAACACTGTTAGAATCTTAAAGCCCTTTATCCTGTGGGAACAGCAGAACACTGATTAAGTATCAGAATGATTAGTACCATCACTTCAAAACACTTAGCAATCTTTACTGTCACTTGCTGTACCTATTAACTCCAGAATACCAAGCTGCAGCCAGTGTCATATTGACAACAACATCTACTGGAACAAGATCTGCTACTGCACCATTGGAAGCTCTCATTGTTCGAAGAATTCCTTTTCCTGCCTTAAAAAAACAAAATAAAGAGACAAAAAATGCACCAGTAAAACATACGAAGCTTCTAAATGGAAGAATTATTAATATTAAATATTTTTAAAGTAATTTAATATTAAGAAATTACTTACAGCAATGAAGAGACCACTAGGTCCATTGAAGTTATCAATCCATCCCTATCGTGAACAGTTGGGAGGAAAAAGTTTGAGTTAGCAAAGTCAACAATTTTAAGTGAAAATTTGTCAAGTTAACTCAAAAGACATATTAGTTTTCATACACCTAAATGAAGCTCACCCAAAGTAAAATCAGGTAACATAACATCCTATAATACAGATAATCAGTCTCTGTAGTTTCACTGGTCCTTTTAAGTGAATTATTGATTTGCTTATTTCTTACAGTTAATAAAATGCACTACACGTTTATGTCCCAAATGTTTATATTTTTATATTTATATTTTTAGAAAACTTCCATCAACTCAGTCCAATAGTTGCCAACAAAACTGCAAACTCTTGTGAGGGTTTTGGTGTGTTTTGTTTTGTTTTTTCCAAGTAGAGAACATTTTCACTTAACTTTAAAGCCAATATTTAGACATTATGTACGAATTGTTCTGACACATACTCCAGATTTGTGGTGTCAATTATACGTATTATTGAGTAGTTAAGAAATATTTAGTTGAACTGAAGCTATTCCAGCAGTGTCTCCCATACACGAGGAAGCATATAGCATAAATACTATACTATACATATATCAATATATAGTATAGAGCACATACAATGCATGTCATTCCCTGCAATTACGAAGCTTGGTTCAGTGTTTTGACTCCACTTGTCTTATGTGCCACACACCCTATTTTCCTTAGTGACACTTCATAGCTATTGACATGTTAAAGCACCCTCAAGAAGGAAAATGGTTGAAAAAGATTTTTACACGTGAAATCGTGTCTCCCATTGTGACATAAGTATGCTGTTCCACATTTAGAATTTACATCCCTATACATCCAATACATGCAAGTATCCTGTTTGATGTCTTTTCTATCATAGCTGTTAACCAGAAGCAAATCAAGACACAGCTCTGAAATCTAAAAGGTTTTCTTCTACAAAGTTCACTACGCACACAAGTTGTCAGTACATACTACAGTTCACAAGCAAGACAGACAGATGAAAACTCAATAACTTACAGGAAAAGGCTCCTTCCAGCTAGCACCAACAATAGATGGCCTTATAATGGCAGTGTTTAGTCTTGCACCCTCTTGCTGTACTACATATTCAGCTAAGGCTTTCGTATATGTGTAGGTGTTAGGCCTGTCACCTATAAGTTTAGGAGTAATATCATTTACTAGGCTATCATCCATCCACCTAAAGAAACAAAATAAAAGAAAGTGTAAATAAATGTACGCTGTTTCACTGGAGAAAGTGAGAGGAAAAAAGGAAATCTAAATAAACAAAAAAGACTTCTGAAAGTAAAACTTCTATCCCATCTTTTCAAAATATCACCCAGGAAAAACAATGTGTAAGCACTCCCCAAGAACGTGCATAAGCACACACAAATAAGAAATTCTGCAAAGAAACATAGGTAATAATTAACAATTCGGTTCCATATTTCCTGTGTCTGCAATAACCCCACTAGGTAACACTAAATCTGTGTATTTTAAATCTCAGCTTGAGTCTCTGAACCTAAATCCAGCTCCCACTGAATTCTGCAAGCCACATACTTTCACATTAAACTTAGAAATTGTAAAACATTTCCATAAGTATTTGTTTATCAGAATTTGCTGTCAGATTATATAGGGTTTGGCTTTAAAAAAAAAATAAAAATCTATAGCTTCCAAAATATAATTTAAGAAAATAAAAGAGCCAGGATTTTTGCTTATTTATACTAAAGGTTAATTTTTGAAAGGTGACAGAAAAATATCAAGTGTAACAAAGCCCGTCTTCTACTCATTTTTCTTAACAACAACTGCATATTTACAGAACTGGTCTGAAAGAAGAGCTTAAGGAAGAAAGTTTAATATGAGAGCCTACAACAGCAGTGTAGTTAGGATGGTTTATTGACACTATCACTAGCTTACATAAGACTGCTAATACTGATTTTCATGCTCATTTGGCTTTAAATTAAACTATAAAACTTGAGCATCTGAGTGCAAATATTAAGAACAGAAACTTGTTTTTCCAAACCAGAACACGTGGCTAGTTCCAAAACACTTCTGCAAACATTTCATACGGTATACTGTAGACAGTATATTCATAAGCTTAGTTAAATATAAAAGCTTGTTTTTAAAAAATCCTTTCTATTTATTATAAAAGTTACTATGATGTCTTGTTTGTATTTTAAAAGAGCATACAGACTGAAACGGAAAATTCACTCCATGAGCAAAAGAGAGAAGGTCTGCATGTTTTGAAGTCCACTGGAAGAAGCATAAACTAGTTAAGTTCTTGTTTGATTCACTCATTTATTATACTCTATACTTCTGTACTGAAGAGCCTCTGCAAAAACCTCTTTGGAAGAGGGACAGTGAGGTTCCCAGCATTAATAAGCTAAAAAGCTGATAAAATTACAAGTCCCAGAATTACCTTCAATGTTGGGTTAAGTGATCATACACCTCTAAAGCAAGCTGGGACAGAGGGGTTCCTGACAGCCTAGCCACACAATTCCACAAGCTCCAGTGCTAATAAACAGAGTGCAAAAACATCCTTCCAGTGGCAGCACACAAGCAGCTCAGTTTACCCCACTTACTCTGGAGGCTTAGACAATAAATGCGTTTTTATCACCTAGAGATCTCTATTATGTTCCAGATTCCATTCCATATCATGCAACACTTTTTTTTTTTTTTTTAATGACAAGATTTCCCTATAAGATTCAATACTACTCCATACCTAGCTCAGCTTTAAGTGACCATGAAACCTCAGCTTGTTTCCTTTACAGAAAAGGGTAGTGTCAGTCATACTTCAGATTAACAGGACAACATAAACTTGTTTCTTAGGTTCTGTTTCTTAACTGTTCACTACTAGAAAGCAAATAAAGATTCCTGAATTAGATTAGTAAAGCATAACACATACTCAAGAGAATCCATCAACTTCTTGGGATCAACAGGAGGTGGATAAACAATTTCCTCAATATGTTTTCGATTGCAATATGCATATGCAGTGGAAACATGCATGAATACTTCTAGATTTGTCATTTGCTGTGCCAAAGAAAGGAGCTGCTTTGTGGAAAGCACATTTAACTGAACGGCATCTCTGTTGATTAAAAAGAAAGTTAATCAGTAAAAAGCAATACACAAAAAACGCATAAAGAAAAAACTAGTCAATCCACTAAATCTTTCCTAAATACCTAGTGACAGATATATGTGGTATTTCTAATATTCCTGACTTACTTCCTTACCCCATGTACAGTATCATAACCTGCTCATAAAAATATGGCACAGTCTATGTAGAAATTTCTCTCAATGTTCAGGATACTTTTCTTTAAGTTCTACCCTGTTCTTATTGGTAAGATAGGCAAAGTCAGCATACTTTTGGCTTCCTCAAGCTAAACCCTAATACAGTAAATTTTTCAGAAGATGCAAAGGAAAAACAGATACAACAGAACACCCAGCTACTGTATGAGATGGCTGTCAATTTAACAGCAGCTTTAAACTTCCTAGCTCAAGTTAAGTCAACACCTCAGGAGGAAGGCTTAGAGAGCTAATAATTTGGATTTGGCTAGCATTTTCCTGTAGGACAGCTGAAGACTCAGTAGCACAAAAGGATTACATAAAGAAAAGAAGAACAAATGAAAAGGATTGAAATACCATACCACATACTTCCATCTCTCCAACTTAACGGCTTCTCATAAAAACAGCACCCTTAAGGACACCATATAGATATACCTAGTCTCTTACACATTTTGCACCACATCATAAAACACCTTAATGATCAACTTCTGTGATTTTTTTTATACATTCCAGATATTCTCTTCAGTCTACAGAACTTACTATGGGAGCCAGCATTCTTGTATATAACACACTAATCAACTAAGATTCAAGAATGCTGCTAAATCAAGCTTTACCAAACCTTCTTCCCCACAATGTCACATTAACAAAATGTTTATTTTAGGGGGGGAAAGACAAGATTAAGGCTGCTTTATCACATATTATCACTGAAACATTAGGAGACAGCAGTCACGGAACTGTTCTAAAGCAATAAACACCATTCAAAAATATTACCTCCAAATAACTTACTCTGTTTTAAACAGTGTTGTTCTTAGCACTCACTTCCTCTTTAAGGAGGACCAAGTAAAAAGTTAATGATGATAATATCCGTACAGTGATGCAGGCAGCTTTCAGGCAAATTAGGAAGAGTTTCAAAATAAGTCTCAAGTATTTCACTTGGTTTCATTCCTACTACTGACCCCTAGCTAAGTTATTTTGAAGCCTACTGGAAGAAGCACATGCTATGTAAGTTTTTGCCCAATTTATTATATAATGACTAAAAAGCAACTACTATATTCCTCTAAAAACATATTAATTCTATCAAGTGAAGTCTCAAACAGGATGTGCAGCCACAGCAAGTTAGTTTCCTTGGAAGAAAGGCAGTGAGCCTTTACCACCAGAAAGGAGGTAACTCCCACGTTACGGTGTTAAGCAACTTTACATCATTTACTCCTGTTAATAAAGATCTGATGAAGGCTGATTTAAAAAAAGAAATATTCTGGCACATCTGCTAGGTGCTCCAGCCCCAAACCCATCCTAATAAGTGATCATTTTCTGCTGTGTAAACAGTGCACTGCACCCTTGAGTGGAAATTGCCAGAGGCTTAACTGCATCAAAAGCCCATTTCACTAGATTTTCAAATTGCTGCAGACTCCTTTAGGCCTCCGACAGGGTGGCAGCTCCCTAGCATTCTAAGGCAGTAGAGCAGTGATAAAAATGGGCTACTTTCTACTATTCCAGTATACAGGACAGCACTTTCAGAGAGGTGGTGCCAACATTTTTAACAACTCAACATTCTCTTCATAGAAATTTGAGCTGTTTACCACAAGATCATAATATCTGTTTGTTTGGGAACTGCTGAGTCACAGCCTGAACCTCTGATTGATCACCTGAGGCAAGCAAGCAGTCAGCCACGGGAGCACAGTGAAGGCAATTCACCTGTGCTGCAGGAAGGGGTGGAGCCTGGCTGCACCTCTCCGAGACCCATTTAAGAGCTGACTGCCAGTGGGGAAGGATCTCTTCTGGAGATCTGCTCTGCTGGAGTTTTGTGAGCGAGCCCAGGATACAAGTAAGCTTTCTATCTATTCTCTTTTTGTTATTATAATCTGCTTTGCCTAACTCATTGCTCACCTCAGGTGATCAACCAGAGATCCAGGCCATGACTCAGCAGTTCCCATACACTGCTTCAGAAGAATTTTCTTGCTTTTGTGAGCCTTCATTGTATTATTTCCTTAGTAGAATTCCTTTCTGTACAAGACGAAAGCTTATTCCACTTGCAGTTTTCAACTGATTTCTAATTCTCCCTACTCCAACCTCTGCAAACTTCCACTCTTCTTACTGAATGACTTTCTGAAGTTATTTAATCTGCTCTTTTGTTCCTCAAGGAAATAAATCAAGTACTAGAACTGTTTGCATTCCCTCTTACACACAAACTCCAGTGTGAGTAATGAACACAGTACACACTATATAGCTACAGCTTATTTACATCCTCTCCAACTCTCCCAGAAGACAGAGCAATGCATGAAGGAAGACTAAGAAAAGCAACTATCTCCAAGCTTCTTCTCAACCACTTCCATTCAAGAAGGGCTTTGAAAATTAGGCAAAGGCCTCTAGTTAAATAAGGGAGCCTTCAGCAGAGTAAAAAAAAGGAAATTATCCATTTCATTTCTATGCACTAATAGTCACCGTGTCTAGAATTTCACACTGTGTTAAAGTTCACGTTGAGTACTGCAATTCTAATCTCTGGCAACACAAACTTAAATACTGTACCTCCATCTCTTTAAGAAAAGAAGAATAAAACCCTATAGCTAAATATTAGTTCTAAGGAAACGATTCTACTTCAGATACTAATCTTTAAATTGGCCAGACATGGAAAAACAAGTTACACATCAGACCACCACATTTGCAAGGCTGTGCAGATATCCTTTCCTCTGAATACCAACAGCTTATCACACTAGACCATACAGAATTGTAGACTCACCTTAGTGTTTCATTGAATCTGACTGTAGCAGCACAATGAAATATAATATTAATGCATTCTATAAGTTTTTCCTTGACTGGGTCACTAAGGTCCAGTTCAGGCTGAGTAAGTTCACTTGTAATCACTATAATTTTTTCTTTGAAGTCTGGCTGCTCCTCTCTCAACCTGTCAAAGAGCTGTCAAAAAAACAAACATAGGAACAAAAATTCAAACTGATAGCCAACAAAGATATGATTTGTAACTGAAAAGCCACACTTTTTGTCTACATATTCATCTTAACAAATTAGCAATCTTACAACATGCTACTGACTTCCCACGAACACACTCTATGTTGCATTAGTACCTAGTTTATCCCAAACAGCAAAACCAGAAGTACTGCATGTTTTACACAGAAAGCAGTAAGACTTCAAATAAAAATTTTCTAATAGTCATCCCTATCCTGGAAATCAGATATCTTGGAATGTCAGAAGGAATAGTCTCTACAAGACAACAGAACATAAAGCCTTTTTAGGCAGCAGTCTTAGCACTGCTCTCTTTCCTTTCAGCAGGGAGTACTACGAACCTGCACAAATTATTTTAATTTTTAGGTTTAGAAAGCTTTTGTTAAGCTTGAAAAAAATCCAACATTTATGGAAAAATATTCCTGGACTTACGCCAGATTTTGGGAACTTCCAGATTAAGAAACACAGAAAAATTACCTGCTTCTCTAGCCAATCAAGAGAGAAAATAACAGGGTTAAAGGCTCCTCGTTATGTTAGAGTATCCGAGTAATTCTTATCAAACTGGTGGTCAACTACTTAAGTAGCAAAAAAAAAAAAAACAAAAAAAAAACACAACCCACATCTCTCACCCACACCTGTGTTCATCATACACCCTCCTCATGGTTAACTGGATTCTAACCATGCAGCTTAATATGCAGATAATTAGCATGCAAGTTATCCTGAGCAAAAGAGTACTGTGAGTATGGAACTAAATGGAGAAAAATGACTTGAGACCATCTGAAGGAGGGTCTCAACCTAACCGTACTACTCCCAGGCTACACTACCTCCTGCATGTGATTATACATTCTCTTAACATATTAACTCAGATATTTGACTTCCCAATACTGCTGAACATCCTACTCTTAATTTAAATACATGGGATAAATTAAATGGGATAATTTCCCATTATTGGCTTTGCTTGCTTTCAAGTATTGCAATGTTTGAAATAGGACTACAGAAACACTACAAGGTCTTAGCATTTAGGTTTGTTAGAATAAAAAACAATTAACAGCATTTTGCTTTAGGCAAAGCAAAGTTGTTCTCATAGCAAAATGGGAGCAAGATTCAGCAGGACAAATAAATATGCTGTGAAAAAGTGATACACACCTTACAGCTGGTTATTTCCTCTATTCGTGCTTCTGGTGTCTGCCCTGCTTTGGGTCTTACCAATACATACACTGCTTTGACTTTAGGACAAGATCTGAGCAGTTTTTCCAGAAGCACTTTTCCCATGAAGCCCGTAGCTCCAGTCAGAAGAACATTCTTTCCTTCATAATATTCAGGTATGGAAACCATTATGACCTTAAGATAAAAAAGAAATACATATTGTGGGACTTCCAGAAGTTCAAATTTATATAAGGTACAAACTGCATAGAAGCAAATATTCAACCTCATACCTGGAAAAAAAAAAAAAAAAAAAGCTTACCAGATATTGGTGCTAGTAATCAGTACTTAAAAACTTGTTCTTTCCTCCCCACCACATTCCATAGAGTCCCACAGAGTCACTACAGTCATTCCAGATCATAAAACTGCCCCATCACAGTTTGTTCAATTCCTTGAAGACTCATTCCATTTAAGAAATCAGCTCACTTTTCAGTCTCGCTATGTGCATGGCCATGACCATGCAGCCATGACAAGTGGTTGTTTCACGTAAACTAAAGGTCATATCATTAAAATACAATCACGAGTAGATACTTAAAATACACTGACAAAAGACAGGGAGAACTGTCTGTCAGCAGCACTGCTTGTCAATGTCAGGCTGAGTCTTCAAAGGATGGATGTGGCCACAGAGAAGGTAAAAGTCAATTGCTCAGTATAAAATCTGCTGGTCTTTTTCTATTGATTACATGAAGACATATTACTTTTTTCCTCTCCCAATCAACCATGTGGGGATTTTTTCCTAGTTCTAGATACTATAAATAGGAAGACTTCCTAAAGATAAATGCAATGCTTTTTCAATGTGGTCTTCAGACCATGACCTTAAAGACCTCAACCTGTGCCTCAGCCAACTTCAAGTCATTCTGTAAAGCCCCATATACCAATAAATTAAAAAAAAATCCTAAAATGGCTTAGCTTTAACTGAAAAAGACTACAGCATGTGGCTATATTTCCACCACGGTGTATTAATCTAACTCAACTGCTATAAATAGCAAGCTGATATAGCAGAAGTCTAGCTGTAGTCTCCTACAGTAAATCTGCAAACATCAACCATTACACTCAAAACACTACAGAAAGCATTTTATGCGTTCTGTCCATGATGTTAAAAGAAACATCCTACAAAGAGAGTGTTTCTCAAAATATTAAGAGTTAAGAGTTGCAACATTGAATGCTTGAATAGAATGAAAGCCTTTCCTCAGCTATCACTCAAGAATATGAGAATGCAACTTCTGAAGTGCTGTAGTCTTTTTTTGTTGTTGCTGTTTCTAAATAGCAGGATAGCAGGCAGGAACTTACCAGGGAACATGTACTCCCGCAATTATTGTGGAAGCACCTAATAAAAAAAAAAAAAAAAAAAGGACTGTGGGGCACAGTAGCAAGTTTAGAACAGATTAAGCATTGCTATTTGTAATGGCCACAGGACATCATCCAAAATTTGCTCTGTGAAGGCTGATGAGATCAGCTTGCTGTAAATAGGTCCCCCCACACATCCACCTTTCACATCTGCCACATACTTGCAGACTTACCACCCACAATAAAGGAATAGAAAACAAGGTAAGACAACCTTTGGAGCCACTTTTTCCCATCTAATTCAAGACATAGTCCTACTGTCTTCACCAGGGCTCCAGAATCACAGACTTCTTATAACTTCACATATGCCTAAATTCTTGATTTTTTGCTATTTGAACATACCATTCAATCCCATTTATTCCTAAAAAAATCTCCATGCTTGTTCCTACATACAGGATAAGACCTGTTTCCTCTGAGAGCACTCATGCACCCTTTACTGTACCAATTTTGTCACCAAGATACCATTTTACTGTAGTTCTTAAGAATTCTTGTTACTTACTCATATCTTTCATGCCTTTTACCTGGTAACAACATTTAAATATTGGAATAGTCACATTTGCTATGGACCAGCCTTAAGCTGGCTGAAAAACCTGACAATGTTTTAAGTCATATGATATAAAGAAAACTAGAAGCCAGAACACATAACTAAGGTGGGAAACTTTCTGATGTCTCACAACACTCTTCTGACCAAAGGGTTTGCATCAGATAAAAAAACAGCTATGTTATTACCCTGAAACTTTTTACACAACAGCAAAGCTATACAACACGTAGACGTACAGCTATGATTAAGAATGATGCAATCTGATTGCTAGGAAGAAACACACAAACATACTCAAGTACTTGCACTTAAGAGGCAAGAACACCAACATTCATAGGGTTTTCTTGTTTACTTTTTAAGGATTCTTGACTGAACTATTTCCTTTGAGCAACTCTATACTGTCTCTCCTCATTCTACTCTCCAGCAACTACAGCTTTTGGTAGTTTTTATTCATAGCAATTTTCTACACTAACTCTGTCTTTTCCTACTTGTATTCCTCTTGCAGTTTCCAGCTAGAAAAAGATAACTGCTAATCTTTTAATAAGCATGTGCTGCTGCCAAATTATAAGAATAAATGCTGGGCTTGTGAATAAATTGCCTAGAAGCACCGTGTTTGACTCAAGGATAAGAACCACGCATGGAATCTGAGGATGACTGGAGAAAGACTAACACAGATCAGGTTGGCTAAACCTCCCAGAAAGAAAAAGTCAACTCAACTGCAGGAGTGGGAAAGAATGTTCCCACTCTCAATCTATCTTTCCCCACCTCTTCTGAGAGCTCATCTCAACATGCCTGTTAATGCAGCGTTGCTGGCAACAACTACCTTTGAACTCAGAAGGGACTTAATCTCACAGGTATGATACATTAGCTGTGTTGCCTTTTAAAGCTCTTCTCTGCTCAGCAGTTTACCCTTTGCTTAAAGCCAACTACTGAACTACGGAAGAACTATATCATAACTACGTTTCAAAATTCTGTTAAGAAATAAATGTAGTTCCCAGAAGAAGCTGAGTTCCGCTTTTAACACAGAGCAGGCTGGAGTTAGATCCAAAAGGATACCTACCTTGCAAGACAACACAGCAGAATCAAATTCAGCCTAAGGTGGAAATGTCAGCAATCTTCCATGTTATAACCGAGTTGTCGCCAGCACAAAATCAGCTATACTTTCTCTATTAACTAGCAATATGTATTTTCACCACTTATTCAATGACTTCTTGACCTCACCTTCTACAAACAATGCCAGATATTTCTGTTAAATACAACACTGCCTTATGTACACTTGAAATTATCCAAACTTTTGTAACTGCTTTTTGAGCTAGTAAGTAACAATAGCTAAGGGAAAAAAACACTGGGCAGATGGAAGAATAACTAAGAGTTTTCTTAAGAACTCTTGGTGTAGAAAAGGCATGATCACTGGTTGACTTGGAGAGATAAACTGGCCTTAGCGAGGAAGCTTACACTAAAAATGCCACAGAGAAACTGATGTTGACATACTTACGAATTCATAGGTGCTGGTTTAAACCAAAGCTGGCTGAAGATCCAGCTCATCTGAAGCGTGCAGCCCTTTAAGGCATCAAACACCCCTTAGCACTTCAGTAAAAAGCAAACCAAAAAAACACCTACTGGATTCTAGCCAACATCCCCCATCTTGTAAAACAATTCTTGTGTCCAAGACTGAGCAACAGCTATTATGGAGCAAACAACGGCAGCTCTGTTTGCCTCCAGAGCAACTACTGCAATATTTAACTCACTGCTTCAAAGAGGTCTCTATGACACTCAAAACAAGGGCAATTCTCAGATTTGTCCAAACACAGATCAAGATGCTTAAAGACTTGCCTTCAAATCTGCCAAGACAGACTTCTGCAGTTCCAGTGAATGTCTGAATGCTAAACCCAGCAAATAGGAGTGTGCACTTATGTCCTCATTTGAGGATAAACAGCCTGTTTTCTAGTTAATCACTGCCAAACATTAGGTCAGCAAGACACTCATTCCAAATTCAATCATACTGAGATTATCCAGTCACAGGAAAGAGACAATAACTATTTCCCAACTCTCAAGCATTAGCAACAAACCAAAAGTTCTGCAAAATAGAGCCTGGCAAACTCATCTTCCCCTGACTGCTTGAATCTAGAACCAGCAACAGTGTAACACAAAAACAATCTGGAAGACAGACACTTCTTCTATCCTAGCTATATATTCAGGCAATAAAACCTAGACATCAAATCTGAATACAGCATTTGTGAAAATTACACATTTGTATCAGAAAAATATTACTGGGAGGCCAACGTGCCATTTAGGAATTCCACAGCCATTTTCAAGGACACTGTAGCAAGTCAGAATAAAATTTAAGAACTGGATAGATTCAGGCAGCAAAGGAAGTAATATTTAACTCACCTAAACAAGATTATGCCAGAAAGACAAGCTGGGGTCACATCACAACTCATTGCATCTGATGCCTTGTTTCCACAGAAGTAAATCAATGAATGCTATCAAAAGTTATGTCCACCTTTTCAACAACCACAAGGGTCACTGATCTCCCCTATTCGGACAATACCTATGAGCATATCACCAAAGGTGAGCTTGTTTGTCTACACAGTCCAAGGTTATACCCATTGAGAAACCTTATCTGTGAAAGATAACTGTTCTGGAAGATGAGAAGAGATTGTAACAACAGAACAGAGTACTTCCTGCCGGACACTTTTGGTGCAAGTTCACTTTAAAGTGTATCTATTCCAAACGGCACAATCTGAAGATTTGAGACTATTCCTACACTTGGAAAAGCAACATACTTACCAGTGTTTACAGCTGTCACTAACATTCCTACCTATTCTCTTGCAAGGCTATTTTCTACACTAGCTGGAAGCCACAGTCATCTGCAGGATAAACCTGACAAGAGAATTTATTGTATCTACAGGAGCTGGGAAACATATTGCCAGGTCTGGAAGCTAATTATAGCCACTACATTTTCAAACAATATCGAAGCAGGTTCAAAATTTAATAGTAACTAGCTGTTCTTGGGATTCTGTCTGCTGGTGTGATAGATAGCAAGTATCTCACACTTTCCCAAAGCTGTACACTAAGTATGACAAACATGGTTGACACTCCCTAGGTATACTAGAGAATTACTGTGCTACAGATACATCAAACTAGCTCTATTCCTCAACCCTGAAAATGTTTAGAGATGATCTGCTACCAGAAAAGATATACCTACTTCAGATCATTTCAGTCCACAAACTTGTGGTGTCACCAGCAGAACTTTACCATTAGAGGTATTTGATGCATGTGGTTATACAGATACTTCCTATGAGCGTGTTCATGTGCCTTCTCAAGCTATAGTTCTGATTTCACTGCAAATGCAGAACCACTTACGCCTCTATTCAGAGATTCTGTACCGGCTGACTAAAAAATGACTTTCTAATAGTAAGCACTCTGTTCCAGAAAATAATAGAGCTCCTAAGCTTCGCTCTAATTACAGTTCTTTTACAGTAAGGCCACTGAAAAGGAATTGAAATTCTTCTAAGCATTGCTTTAATGCAACTGAGTAAAAGGCTATTACTATCCCTTTATAATTAAATTAGAAATTCGTGTTTTTCTGAACTGT